GAGTTTGTGATTTACATGTGATGTACATTTGAAGGGAGGATAAGCTGAAGGATTCTGATAAATTTCTTATTTTTACATCAATCTTTATGCATATAGAACATATTAAATCATGTTTAGAATATTTACTCTAAATTTTTCATTTTAGATAAAGTCTAATTTAATATCTAGTATTGTTGTATCTAAAAAAAATTGCTCTTTATTACAATGTCTTTCTAATTATGGTGATATCTGGGATGATGATTATAGTGTTTGTGTATGAATAACTTAAAAGATGTGGTATTGCTATGAGAGTTGCATATGGCAAGGATAATTCTTCTATATTTTGCATATAGATATGGGTGTTTTTATTTTTTGGAAATGTTAAAGTTATATCCATCATTGCAACTAAATTACTTTTGAGTATGAATAACTTTCTTATATATAATTCAAAGTTAGATCAAACTTTTTTAATAGTAGTCAAACGTAGTTATAAAAGTTTTGTGATTAATCATCTTATATTATCTTTTCCCATATCATTAGTGTGCATGTTATGTTCGTGTGATAACTTTACTATTATAATCATTAATTATTTTTGAACTTTGTAAATCATGAAATGAAGTTAAATAAATAGTTTATTAGTAATTCAATGTCACTACATTATCTTAACTTCCAATCAAACACTATTAAGTTTCTCTTCTTGTTTTTTTTTTTTTAATTAAATTTATTATTCAATTATTCTCCGAATATGTTATTATGAAATATATAAAATCACATTAGTGAGCTTCTAAGAATCATTCGCTTCGTCATCAATCAATTATACTCATCTTAACGAGTAATTTACAGTTTTAGGGTGTGAAATAGCTTTTAAATATGAAGTAATTAAGTGTCAATTCACAAAGCTTGCGCCAAAAGGGATTAAAGAAGGTAGGAGTAATAAGGAGAAAGCAGCAAAGGCATTATGATCTCTACTTACAACAAATATGTATAACCCAAAGTGGACTTTCTCGTGATGACAAAAGTTTTTAGATCCTGAGCCTCGAGGATTCCGCCAAGCTCGATCTGCATATCTTAACCCAATTTTTATATACTAAGCTAATAATTAACAAGGAATTTAATTTAATTTTAGAAATAGAATAAATGTTTTCAACTACTTCAAAAAATAAAAGAAGATCTGATTCAGTAACCAATACTTGTTTCACGAGCATATTATGCGAAGAGTATCATGATATATATATATATATATAACAATTATATTTTATATTTGACAAATCTGTGTTGTGTATCTTGTGATAAGGAAGCTCGTGACCCATTTAATGTGTGGATACCAAAACTTAATTGTCAAAACGACATCACATGATATTAGCATGCAATGTATAAATGCTTTCTTCTCCACATGACGAGGAGTTCGTATACTTTAAAAATGTGATTTATTTATTTTAAATATTTGTAATATATATATATATATATATATATATATATATAAGCAACACTTCAAAAAGACCACTAATATTTATGACATTTGTCTAACTCAACTTTGTTCATAAAATACTTAATAAGAGAATGAATTCTCTGTTATATTTAAAATTTGGTTTAACATTTCAATTCTATAATTTTTCAATCTACTATCCATTGAATAAATAATTAATACTTTTATCTCTCTATACAAGTATATAAATTCGAGTTAAATTGTGTATCTCGGTGTATTTTTATTATGAGATCGGATGATAATTGACGTGTATGTGTCATTTTATTAATGAAATAAATAAATTTTCACTTAAAACATCTATGATATTTATTTAAATAATTATTTTTTTTATTTTTCCGTACAAATGTATACATTCGAATTAAATTGTGTATCTCTCCGTGTATTTTTATTATAAAATTATATTATAATTTATATATATATATGTTATTTTATTAATAAAATAAATGAATTTTTATTTAAAAATTCAATGATAAAACCGATATAATAAAGCATGCTACTTGTAATTAAAGTTATAAACTAGTACATTAACGAACAGGCTTTATCAGACGAACGAATCAAAAAATATACGTGTTATTTTTATAAGACAAACGGCCAGTGTATTTATAAAAATGTTAGCACATTAAATTGGCTCTCTCCAAATATATTATTTGGGTTGAA